AAGTAACTCTGCTGGGGATAAAACACAGGTGTATGCTTTTCTTCTTTCTTTCTTAAACGACTCAGCAATTCACTTCTCATTGAAGTTAATTGCCCGTGAATTTACTGCTTTCAAAGCGAGAACACAATTAATCATTTGGCTCATAGAGACGACCCCCCCCCCCAACACACACACAATTTTACCCCCCAGTGATTTACAGCAGCAGTTCTGCTGACCCACAAACAGCACCGCAGACTGTTGGAAGCAGCAGTAGAGACTGTGCCTTGCTCTTGTGTAACTCGRAGATTTGTCTCTTCCTCTTTACTCCTCCTCTCTTTGTTTTCTTCCATCCATCTGGCGGTGTACTGTTTCCCTCCTGCTCTCAACTCTCCAAGAGTACTGCTTCCATTATCATTATTACTGTATATATTTTTTTAAGAGCAAGGACAGCACGAAGGCAAAACAATGGYTGTGTAACTAAATCGTCTTCACTGAGTACCGGAGGGATCCTGATGTATAAAATGCTCTGCAGCAGTTTTTTTTTACCCGACCGTGACTGCACCGATCCATTAAAGCTGCGATGAGGGCATGTGCTCTGATGATGAAGCAGCAGTTTGTGCAGACSTGCTTTTTAGAAATGCAGAGTTACTCCCAATCTGTCCTGGAGCTCGGYGGTAATGATAGCCATGAAAGCTAATTATGACAAGTGTAATTGCAGTATTGTATATTATAATGAACACCACAGACCTGGGAAAGAATAAAAACAACAACAAAACTGAATTCAGAATTCCTAACACATCTATAGCCTATAATTAAATCTAACACAAACTTTGTAATAACTGAAGCTACAAAATCCCTTACAATTTGAAATCTAAACTGTATAAGGAATGTTGAAGCTGAAGAAAGACGCTCACTAGGTTGCCGTTACGGTAACCACAAACCTGTCTCTCTCACTCCCTGATAGTAATCTTAAGACAGACAGAAACAGACTGAAAAGTAAATCTTAAGTCATGTCAAATACAAGGCCCGAGGGCCAAATCCAGCCCACACTGACATTTCATCAGGCCCTAAATGAAATATTTTAAAAGTAAAATATAATTTCTCTTTTTGTCACTGTACTTAATGCAGTCTTTTCTCTACAGTAGTTGACTTCAAATATGTATTATTTTAAGTCAAATAATTGTTTTTTAGGGAATGTTTTCTTTCTATTTTACAGATTTTCTAGCCTGACCCTTGCCTTCCTACGCAGCTCTGCTCAATTCTAGTTTCGCTTCTCTGCTCCGTCTGGGATTTCTCCCATAGACAAGGATTTCGCTGGCAGATTTTTAGCCGGGCCAATCAGAGAACAGAAGGTAGAGTTTTGAATGACGTCGATGTTCTGCAC